TATGCCCCGTGAGCACTCTCAAGATGAACCGCAACTTCTTGCAAAACACGGGCTCAGAGAATAAGGAAACCTTGTCACTCAGACAGGGAAGGGAGAAACTCTGGAAAAGATCCCGAAGAGACAAGTTTAAGGCAAATCCTGCTTGTGGGAATGCCAACACAAAACAACAGGAGCTCCGATGACTTCAGAAACACAAGAACAAAGCTCAGCTGACAAACTTACAGGGTCAAAATTTGCTTGCTTTTAAAATATTCATAAGCAAAAAGACATCAGAAACTCCTAATAAAAGCAGTTTGTTATAACAGCTTTAGTTTTTCTTTTCCAGAATAGGCCATGTATCTTAAAGAATACATTCAGAATTCAGAGCACAAAATAGCACTGATGACGACCTGCTAACTCTTTGGCCCTGAATGTTAGGGGAATTGTCATTTTAAGGAATAATAAAGAGAACAAAGGAAGAAGAAAGGTTTGCAAGAAAATCCAGGTAACCGAAAAACCCCACACCAATTTTCAAAGAAATCTGTAACTTATCCTTACTCCACACTTTGTCTCCTCAACAGCCTCATACAACATATTGGTAAATATTCAATCTACAGGCAAAAGTCAGTCCAAGCTATTACAATTTACAGCAGGCTTCTGCCAAACACTTTATCCTCTGATACAGAATTCATTCCTCTCCTGAAGAACACCTCTCCTGCAGCAATGTCTTTGCGTCACTAAATAGCTCTGCTAGGGCTGGCAACAAAACATTAAAATTGTCTTCGCCTAAACAGAAAGCATACCATCATGTCAAATCCACCGCAGCTGAGGTTATCAGGGAGCAGTCACTGCACAACCCTTTTAAGTAACCAGTTGCCTTCTGGACTGGATCAAGTATTGATTACCTGCTGAGTAGAGGACATCTGTGGGTCTCCAGCTGTCCACCAAATACAGAAGGGAAACCTTTGCCCAGGAGTTCTATTTGTATCAAATTTCAAGTGATGCAAGAATATTTATGAAAACTAGCACTGTTCTGTACAGGTTGGGCCAGCTTGGGTCCACTGTGGTTGGCAGCGCTGCATCACTTCACATCTGCTCAAGTTTTGACTATTGATTTTTAAAATGAATTTGACTCATTTGTAAACTGTGACAGATTTTAAAAAAATTTCTCAGCTCTATTCATCTGCATTCACAACCTCTTGCCTTGGAGACTTCCCTTCCCTCTTCTCCCTATCATCACATTTTCTTAATAAAAGATGAATGAATATTTATTATTATAGGAATATCTGGGGACCTTGGTCATTATTAACACATTGTCTTAGGCACCATACAAACAATTTGATGTAGGTTCTGCCCTGAAAAGTCTGGAAAAATAGTAGAGAAGAGAGATATAACAGCCAGCCTGAGCAGAACAATGATTTACAACTGTCCTGTAAATATTGCAATTATTTATGTTTTCTACAAGAATTCTGGGTGATCTCATTGGGAAGCAATTAGCCAGAAAAAGAGACAAAAGAGGCAGAAAGGATATATTCCTTCCTTAAAAACTGTAAAAAGAAGAGGATAATTTGTGTTGTACCAGATGCCCATACATGGAGTACTTTATTTTCCTTTTACTGTTGCATTATAACAAATCCCTGAGAGAAAATGGAGCTTAAGAATTGGAAAATGCTAACAGATAATCCCAAGACACACAAGTAGTGTTGGTCCAACTATAACACACAAGCAGTAACGCTGTTCCCCAGTTTTTCACATTGAGAACTTCTAGATTGCACCTATTTGTTGAACTGACTCACCCAGGGATAATTCATAGGAGAGAGACTCTAAAGGAATGGTTAAGACTTACCTGCTCCACTGTCATGGCCTGTGTTTGAGAAGAATGAGTGGAATCCACATAAAATCCAGCCCCAGCAATAATATGGACTCCCGTTTCTTCAGCAAGTTTCTTCAAAGTATTCATATCCCGACCAATTCCTGTGGTTGTGTTTTCCACGATCGTCCCACCACCTGCTGCTTTAAAATGCAGCAGCTCCTCCTTCACAGCATCTGTTTCCTGATACAAAAGAAGGTTTTCTTTGTGGCTGTAGGGATTTTGCTTAATCCAAAACAAGTTCTTCATCTCAATGGGCCCATCAGACAGAGGCTGTTGGCCTGGAGAAGGTGGACAAAAACAGCTGCTGTAGTTCATAGTCAAGTGTTCATGAGTCAACGTATAGCCAAGGCAGTTCGGATCCACAGGGCCCAAGACAGTCTGTGCTTTCCCTCCCAAGGAAGGCATTTTTCTTCAGCAAAAGGAAAAAAAAATCAGATTAAAAGAAGAAAGGAAACAAAAACATTTTAGATGGAGCAAACATTTCTTAAAAAATGTCTGAATTCCCTCCTCCCTCTCATGCATGTACCTACATGCTGTGTGTGTTCACTGGAAAGTTTTAGAATCATAGAATAGTTTGGGTTGGAAGGGACCTTTAAAGGCCACCTAGTCCAATCCCACTGCAATGAGCAGGGACATCTTCAACTAGATCAGGTTGCTCAGAGCCCCCGTCCAACATGACCTTGGATGTTTCCAGGGATGGGGCATCTACCACCTCTCTGGGCAATCTGTGCCAGTGTTTCACCTCCCTCATTGTGAAAAATTTCTTCCTTCCATCTAGTCTAAATCTGCTCTCTTTTAGTTTAAAAACATTACCCCTTGTCCTGTTGCAACGGGCCCTGACGTTTCAAATGCTGCTTCCAATAGAGTGGTCAATATGAAAAACAAAGCATTTATTTTACTCAGCTGCACTTGTCTCAGTACTCTAGCAATGTAAAAATACCACATTCCAGTACAGGGAAATCATCATTATTTATTGTGTTATAGTCAATATCATATTAAGATAAATGTTTCCTATTTAATAACAACTACTGTATGTTCATTTACGATTCTCTGCTCTTCAGCAGCTGTCAAATTTTGTCAGCTTGAGCCACCAGATGAACATACTTGGCACCAAGGCTGAATATTCCTTACTGGTACATTAATTTTATTTATCTGTGTCCTCCAAGACTTACTATCCCCTTCGCACACTGAGGAAGATGTCAGTGTTCAGGCACCTTGTCTGCCCCTCTGTGTGAGGAACGCCAGGATCACAGTATTTTGTGATCGTCTGCTCCTTAGGACTTCAACAGAGGGTCGGGTTCTCCTGCCAGCTGTGCTGTGGAGGTCTGGAACAGCTCGGGACAACTCCTCCAAAGCCAACAACAGTTGCTAAAGATACAGCGTGGCCCCCAACCAGCGGGGCAGAAGCCGAAATGCTTTTCCCATCAGCTTCATTGGCCAAACATTTTACCCGTTAAGGACAGAGCTTAACCTAACATTTAATTTATGTGGCTCAGCCTCTAAGACACCTTCTTCTTCATCTTTAACATGAGCAAAACAATGTTATTTCTCAAAACTTGGAATCGGTGGTGTCAAAGTTACACATTGAGGTTACTTGTCTGCAGCTGGTTCATAGTCAAAGCCAAGTTTGGCCTGACTCGCTACAGGTTAGAATTAGCTGCAGCTCTCCCCGCTGGGATTTTGGGGTATTTTTTTCTTTTGGGGGTGGGGGTAGTCTTTTTCATTTATGTGCCATATTAACATTAAACATAGCTGACTACCCAGTTCATGTTAGATCTTCCTGACGCTAGTTGCAAAGGCTTGAGGACATATAGTTATAATCCCTAGTCAACCAAAATCATCAGTTATGAAACAAAATGCATGTTTAATCATGTCCAGAAGACAGGACTAACTAGAGCATGCATTATTGATTAAAGAGAGAGGTCTTTCCCATTTCTGTCTCCCTTTTAGTGAATAATATCATAAACACGGGTTTGTTACTAGTGAAGCCCTCAGAGGACACTTTCCTTTTAACTGCTAATGTTCATCTACCAGGATGACAGGAAAACTGAAATCCGAAGGGCACTGAACTCTACATATCAAAGGGCACAAGAATGTCGAGGTCTCTTTGGGGATACTTTCATGTCACGAGGAGCAGTCCTTGTCAGAGCACCAATATACGAAAGTGGCCCAGCCTCTGCAAAAGGCAGGTAGCACCTGCCCAGTGAAGTCTATAGTGCTGCTGGTTATTTTAATATGAAAACTTGGCCAACTGTAAGAAAAAGGAAGGACTGACTGACTAGGTTTGCTTGCCTTGTGTAAAACCAGACTTCTGAAGAACTGTTCTTTTATGAATTTCATCTCTAGACTAGTGTGTTGACTTGTTTGAGAAGGCAGAAGAATAATTACTCTCATAGAACAGACTGCTGGCTGATTAATATAATGATTTTTTTTTTGCCAAATGAATTAAGAAGTGCACGATTTCAGAAAATATTATTCTTCAGCAAATAATTAAAAGCAAAATACCTGTCTTAGTCAGAACCTGCTGCTAGCTGCAATTCAATTAAGTTGTCCAACCCAGTCATTAATTCTATCCTTGAACAAAGCTGGTGCTCTATAGATCAACCCACTATTTTGGAGACAGTTCAATGATCTAAGTCATTTTTATATGCACAGTAAAGAAACAAAGATAATTCTAAGATAATTGCATTACCTTTGCTTTTTATTTTTGCATTTTTTGGGGGCGTTAAATATCTACACTCTGGTATTCAGTAAAACCCTAACAGCATAAAGAGTGGTAACTACTCTCTGCATTGGTGACACTCTTTTCTGTCCCCATGTTCATTGACAGTTTTCAAATCCATTTATCAACTTAGGAAAACAAACCTATATAAATATTTTGTTATCTAATTAAGTATATAAGTATTGAAGTTCTTTTGATAAAACTTGACACAAAGCAATTACAATCTTTCCTTAAAAAGTTTCCACTTTTTTAGTTATTTAATAGTGCAGTTACTCAAAAAGGCTACTCTAAGTGAAAGTGAGTTTTTGCTAAAAAGTTGACTTTCAACATTTGTTCCCCCTAATTCCTTTCAGAAGCAATTAATTTAGATTACCCTCAATTAGTCTGGCCTGACCACTGCAAAGACCTATGGTTGTGTGTGTGAGATCTTCTTATACCCTTATATCTGCCGTCTCCTGATTTATAACAGCAGGAAACATTTAAAATTACCAGTTACAGTGCCAGGTTTCTCTTGTAGCAGATGCCAGGCTGTTGATTTTTCGACTCTAGATTTCAGATTATAGCACACATACATACAGAGTTTACAGAACCAATGCCTACTATTGAACCTTTTGATTGAGGTCAAGGAGTTTTATAAATGTAAGAAGCATCACAAAACCAGCAACTAACACAACCAGCATTTAAAGTAGGCCTAATTTTATCTGCATTAAAAATATGATTAATATTAATGTCTGTGCCTGCTTACTAACAGAGTTTTAGAAACCCACCACTTTTAATAAAAAATATATGAAAAATAAAGACAGCCAACAACCTGTGACTGGAATTATTTTTAAAACCATTGTCCTGATATCTTCCCTACTGTCATTTACAGAGACAGCATGCCCTGATTATGCTATAATGATACATTATTCCTAATAAGATTCACTTGATGGAACCAGAATTTAATTAGTGTCTTTAAAACAGATTTTAGGTGCAAACAGATTTTAAATGAAATAAAGACTCCTGCTTAATTTAAGCACGTATATGTTACTACAGAAATCAATGTTCATGTGCTTTACTAATGACTTGCATGCCAGGTTTTACACAGACCTTTCTTCCGAGAAAGTTTCTTCTTTCATACACCAAGGACTGAATTCATATTGCCTCATTTAGCCATCTCAAATGATGTATGTCTTCCACAGAATAATCACCTAGACCATTTTCATAGTGCAGATGGAAAGGCATACATATCATCCAGCCTATTTTGAACATTTGTAATAGAACAGGACAAGTTGCTTTCTGTAGTATCAGCCGCCTCAGCCTCCTTCCACGGACTATAGAGGGAACCAAGAAACAATCCTGGACAAGACAAGTAAGTTGTAGATGGTCCTACATAAGACACGTGAACTATATTTACCAAATCTTAACCCAGTCTGAGGGGAGGGGGAAAGGTGCTGATTCCTATGACAAAAGACACATGGGTACGCTCTTGCCTGGCAACAACAGGTATTTTGGTTTTGGAAATCACTAACTTACGCTGTGGTATCGCCAAGGTGCTCCTGCATAGAACAAGGCTTCTCTACACTAGGTGCTGTATAAACAGAGAAATAAATGGTATTTCGTGAAAATTACGTATTAAGATAAAAAGAAAATGAAAATTGCTTTAAGATATAACCAAAATTTGTATTATTTGACAACAGCCTTGAAACATTACCTTAACATTTCTGTAACAAACTCTGGACAAATCTTTACAACCACCAATTGTATGGTGCATAAAATACGACTCTCACCATTAGCCAATTATTAAATATCAGTGAAGTAAATATTTTTCCTAGAGGTATTGTTAAGAGAAAAGAGACTTGCTGCTAAAAAGGTCATGGTACTGCATTCTTGACTCTGGTAAAAACTCCACTGAGTTCAATAGATGTTTTGCCTGAATACTGATGACAAGATTTGTGTTTCCGCTTTTCCCATCTGAAACTTGCACTTCAGTCATTGTGTCATTTTAATGGTCTTGTAATGGGAAGTCTCTCTAGGTTTGGATTAGTTGCTTCCTACAGTAATCTCATATTGCTGAAGCATTATAATCGCATAAACACAGCTTCCACATGCTAATGCCGCATTTGTTTTGATTCAGTAAGCACATTTTAATGGTATTAGCACAGATTCTCTCTAGACTTGTACGGGAATCATGTGGGATTACAGTGACACTAAATCCAGATTGCTGTGACACAAAATTTACAAAAAAGCAAAAAGAATGGCTCAATAGGTATTTATTATATTCAGAAAAAGATAAACACAGCTACCATTTAGAAACAAGGGCTGCCCTGGCTGCATCAAGAGTATTGTAAGTGGGTCTTTCCTTTATGACCATGCAGTCACTGGAAATGTGACATAGCGCAGGTTCGCTATGTATTTACAGATGGAGGAAATGCTTTGAGCATTCAATTCTACTGTGAGCAACCTCTACAGGGGATGGAAAAGCCCCGAATTAGAAATATATGACACACCTGTAGTAAATTACTGTTAGCTAGTCTATGCTGTGTTATCTCACCATGTAAACATTTTGCAATGATGGAAAAATTTAGCAAGACAAAGGAAAAGGAGAGGCAGAGGGTAAGAGAACACGTGTAGGCTATATCAGGAAGAATTAAAAAAATTAACTTCTCTCTTCCCCCATGCTTCTGGCCAGCTCTGTAGAGGC